TTACTCTTTTTCAAACCCAATCATATGATTTTACAAACTATGAATACAGATCTTTATTAGTGTTGGGGTTTAGCTGTCAAATATCATTTGCGGTCTTCATGGAACCCAACTTTTTTTGGTCTACTATATATAATTACATATTGAACATGTGACAAAAAAAGCTTGGTATTTTGCCGACAAGGTCTAATTGTAAAAGTTTAATTCTGTTTGGTTGTGCAACTTCTATTTGTAGTTTAATTCTGATTTGGTTTGCTTCGAAGAGCCTTAAGTTTGGCTAAATTGGTGATGAAGTTGGAGGATGTATATACAATTGCTGTTTGTTACACCTTGGTACCAAAATCTTTACTCAAATTTTGACCAGATTGTCCTTTATTGCAAGTTTGTTTGGCTATTGGATGACAGTTTTTGCTTTAATCATTATTTTAGATTGAGATAATTGATACTGTCGTGTTGTAGTCGTTAGAACTTGAGAGTTTGGAGTTTGGTTATAATGCTGCATTTTTTTCTTTTCCTTTTTCTCTTTTAATTCAAAGGGACTTCGCTTCTATATCTACAACATTACTGAATATCTTAAATTTGTAGTTACTTAAAAAATGACAACTAACATACTTATAAAAATGATTATTTCTACTCGAACAACACATTGCGTCTTGGTATTCATCTATTTTGTCTATCAAATATACATTTAAAAAGCGCAAACAACACGCATATAACACGAGCCCGTGCGAAGCACGGGGTAGAAAACTAGTATCATTATAAAGGACAACATGTTTGCAATTGTTATTACAACCTGGACGAGGAGGTGCCTACATACCAAGAAATCGACGAAGAAAAGAAACAAAGAAACCGCCAAGAAACTCAAATCAGTGGAATTCACAATACACTAACGGCGGATTTGATTGAACATATTTTTAGTTCCTCAAATAATCAGTAATTTCTTTGTAATGTAATGTAATATTTAAATTTTTTTATTTATGTTGTTATCATTAAAATCTTTTTTTATTAATGTAATTTTTATTGTTTAAAATTGTGAAATTTGCACTGAATAGGACTAAAACATAAGTTATTTCCTAATGTAAGATTTAAATTTTTTTTATTCCCTAGATAGGACTTAATAATGACTAGTGAGAAGAATAATGTCCAAGTGATGCTGGACATTTATTTCAATAATGACTAATAGATAATGAATTCTTAATTAATCAATGAATTCTTATTAATTTACTTTTACAAAATGTGCATTAAAAATTTTAAAAATAAAAGTTTGAAGTTTCAATTCTAACAAGTGAGTTCTTACTTCTTCCCCAAATTCATTGACGAAATGAATTCTACCAACCAGTCTGTCTCTACACGAAGAAGGCACATATCGATTTAGAAAAGGCGATTCCACAGCGGATTCTCCATGTGGTGGACAGACCTGAGAGCAGCTCTGGGGCAAAGGTTTAATGTTCAAGGAATTGCTTCTTCTCTTCTGGTTTTCACTAAAGACAGGAATTTGATGATCCCACACATCTCAGTGCCAGATATAAGGTATATTGATTGGGATGAGGTGAAGAGAAGAGGATTTGAAGGGGTGGTGTTCGATAAGGACAACACAATCACTGCTCCTTACTCTTTAGGGTTGTGGCCGCCTCTGGAATCATCCTTTCAACACTGCAAATCTCTCTTTGGCAACAACATAGCAATTTTCAGCAACTCTGCAGGTGATCTGGAATCACTTTTCTCGGGATCTGTCATTAGTTTAATTGGAGCTATTCCAGTTTTCATTACATGCATTGTTTACTCCTTGTGGTCAACTTTTTTGCAAATTATATTGTACATCCTCATTTTGGTAAGTGACTTTTTTTTGTAGTATTGTGACGATAGGTTCATTATTCATTGAAAATATGTTCATTATTTCTATAAAGAATGCTCATTTGCTTTAGTTTTTCGTGTTTATGTTAGTTATTTATCCAAATAACGATAAAGTGAACGTGAGGGAGGCTCATTTTAATTCTCCTTTAAAGAAAGATCATTTGCAGCATTAGACGTACGATTATTAATGTATTCCTGAATGTATCATATACCCACTGGTTAAATTTTAGGATTACTTGAATATGACCCTGATGGCAGAAGTTCTTTGGTTCTTGAGGGTACAATTGGAATCAAAGTAATCAGGCATAGTAAGTTCATGATTTCTTTTTAGCTACCGCAGTTTAATATTGCAGCATTCTTAGTTCCAAATGAATGGCGTTACCTGTGATTTAAATTTGCTGTGCTTGTTTTGTGTTTTGTAAACTTTAGAGTTGAAGAAGCCGGCTGGAACGGCTGAAGAAATTGTACAACACTTTGGCTGTGACTCCTCAAAACTTATAATGGTATGAAACAAAGCATTTCTTTAATTGCGCTTCACATTTTTCTTTGCTGAGTTACTCGTTTTGCCCATGACAGGTTGGTGATCGACCCTTCACAGACATAGTGTATGGTAACAGAAATGGCTTTCTTACCATTTTGACAGAGCCATTAAGTCTTGCTCGGGAGCCATTGGTAGTACAACAGGTTATAATTTATTTTGCCTTCAAAAAGGGCTGATTGAATTTTTATTCGAAAGTGCCTGATCTGTATTTTCCAATGGTGCCTGAAGTTGCAGTATTCTTGAAGGAGTATATGTGAATAAAAGTTTCCTTTCATCCATGTGTGATGTAGCTCCCTTCTTTCGTATGGAATTTCTTGCTTATATTAAGCAAATTGCTTGCAGCTTAGGGTAATAGAAAGGGCTCTTCTGAAACGTTGGTCTGCGAAAGGGTTGAAGCCAAAAACTCACAACCTTCTTCCTGATAACATGCTGAGTGTAAAAGACAAACCTCTATAGGAAGAGGAAATGTGTTTATAGTGAAAGGAGAAGAATTGTACCTGTATCTATCATCTCAATTAGTGGCTGCTATTTATGGAAGAGCAAAGAAATGTATATATCTCTGACTCATCATCATAGCTTGAGTTTTGTCTTTGCGGATAAAGGTGTGCTTCTTTAAACCTTTTATTAACTCTCTCTTACGAATACACCAGTTTTTGAAATCATTAAATTCTGACTTAAAATGAGAGTGTTGTGACCATTTCAGTAAGGGAGTGTCTTGCTGAATCGGATTGCTGGGAAAATCGATTGTCTAGGCTTGACAAACGCTTGTCTGGTTAGTTGTAGGCCAAAATTGGCAGGAATTGGTTAACAATCGATTCTAACTTAGGGGAGAAACTTTATGCTTGATAATATCTTCTTTTTGTATTCTGATTTGCTAAGAACTTGCAATCTAATGAGAGTGAAGTCTTGGACGAGGAATCCGAGCAATTGAAGTCTCGTATAGGGAATATTGTTGAGGACCTGTCGTGGAGCCCAAAACAAATTAAAAATAAAATAAAACCTTGATGAACTAAGTCAACTAACCCCCTAGCTATAGGGCAAGTAATGATCTATCCCATATTCCCTTGGGAAGATTTTCTATTTTTTGAAATCAAATTTGCACCCACATTGTCAATTAAAAAAATAAAAATAAAATAAAACTAACTACTATGATTAGAACTTATTACACTTATAATAGAACTTAACCTTAAATAAACATAAGAACTTATAAATAACTTTTATAAACAAGAAACTTAACAATATAACTTCTAGAAAGTAAACACATAATATATAGAAGTAAATAATGTATACGATAAACTTATATCTATAACTTATAAGCACCAACTTTTTTCTGGAAGGAAACACATAATATTATCACCAATCCAACAAAGCCCAAACATATAGAAAAGTCTCACTTGATTCTCAACTGCTCTTTTTGTGTTTATCTATTCTACTCTTAGAGCCTGTTCTTTAGGGCTAGAAGAAAAGAATTGAATGTTAGAAGAAACTAGAGGAAATTGGAAAAATTGGAATAAACCAGAAAAAACTAGAATGAACTTTAAAAAGTTATTTAAATATATTTTACATATTATTCTTATTATATTGTTGTTCTTGTTATTAATATTAATATTAATACTATTATTAATATTATTATTTCTATAACAATCATATATAATAGGTAAAGAAAGTCAATACAATTGAATCACATGAATAGTGTACATGCCATTTAATTAGGAACATAGTGAGTAGTATAATTATTATTTTATAATTTATAATATTGATGTTTTTTCCAGGTCAATTTATATTAATAAAATATTTCTAAATTTTAGAACATTGTTTCGTGTCAAATAAATTACTTCCTCTGTCCTTTATCTTTCTTTGCGTTGCACAAAACAAAGAAAAATCCAATAAAATCTATTTTATTGAAATATTAGTATAGAAATAAAAAATGGAACTTAGATATTTAAAAACTACATCAAAAGTTCAACAAAACAAGTAGTGAAGTTGAGATTGTGCCAAGTCATTCCCTCTTTTTTTTATATATATATTGTAAACCCTTTATGTCTTAGGTTTAGTAATGTTTTGTGGCGATTACAACTTGGTGCTTTTTCTTCCCCCCCATGTTCTTAGTAAGCCATTATTGCGTTCGTCTATCCACTTCAGAGCATGGTAGTGTCAACACCTTCAACCTGGTTGGCCCCAATGCACATACTGTAATTCTTTTCCTGGGAGTGTCCTGGATAAGTTCACTTGGGGAACCAATATATTGGTTTATGAGCATTTAGTACATTTTGCAATGTTAGTGTGCATAAATAATCAATTTCTTTAGAAGAGATGACATAAAGAGCACTAAATTGATTAGATGGGGCAGGATAGCCCGCATAAAATTGGCATTTAATCTGTGGAAGGGAGCAGAAGGGAAAAAGATAGCCCACACAACTTTGATATAGAATGTTGGCCATTTATCCATTCAAGCAATGCTTTATAATTTGAAGTGATGTTGTACTTGACTGTAAGTGGTTAAGCTGCACATCTAAAGAGTATATTTGAAACATGCATAGAAAGCATAATAAAAAATCATGAGAGTTTAACCGATTATGAAAAATATGAATTCAAAATAATAGGTAGTTTGAGAAGCCCAAATTTGGAAAATGGAAAAATGAAATTTAAGAAGATGAGAAAGTACCATCCAAGACATGACATTTAGCCTAGCCAAGTGTCTTTTCCTGTAAGATCTCTTTTTCTAATTAGTTCCCAATATAATGTTCAAATTCTATATTTACTTTCCCCAAATTATATTTCCAACTATGCTTTCAAGTTTCAATATTCCACCTGGTGGAATCCATTTTCCCTTGCTTATTTTTCAGACAGATGAACTTGGAAATTGCTACGTTAGAACTGATCAATGTTAAGACTAATAATGCAGTTAAGCTTAGGCACACAATAAACGTAAAAATGATGATTTACACATAGGCAAACAATAAGCACAAATAGGATGAAAGAATTAACTTTTGACCTCATTGCAAGGGGGGCAAATGTAGATGGTCTCTAATTGTGAGAATCTTTCAGACAACTCAATGGTTTGAACCCTAGGAGATGGTGTCTTGTAGAGACTCTCTTTATTTCTGAAAGTTCATCAACCTAGAACACTATAGTCTCACTGAGTTAAGGGAAAGGTAAAAGCAGAATGCCTTACTGAAAAGATGTGCTAACAAAATATCATAATTGAATTAAAATCTGAGAAGAAAGTAATAAAAAAAAATGAAATCGGTAAGCAGTAGAACTTTCTTTCATTTTCAAGAAATGCATGAAAGAGTAAAGGACATGAAAAGCTGACTTTTTGTACAATTGAAAATGCTTCGGTTGCTCTTGTATCTGCGCTGATCATTGATCAAGAATTTCTCGGTCTGCCACAGGTCATTTATCAAAGTACATTCAGAACTGGACAATTAGCAAGTGAACTTAGTGAAGGTATAAAAACCTTCATTTTTTCTACATTGCATGCATAAAATTAGAAGAGCTGAATAAGTTGAGCAATCATGCAGCAAAATAACAAACAACATGAGATCTAGCTAACTAATGTGAGAAATTTGAAGAGGTTAAGAACATTAAGACCCTTTTCTTTTGGGTTAAAATTTCAGAGTTAGATATTGGAAGAAACTAGAAAGAGTAGGAAGAAACTGGAAGAAGTTGGTAAAAACTGGAAAGAGTTGGAAAATTTTGGAAGAATTTAAGTATTAAAAAGTCACCCAATTAAATGATCATCCAAATCAATATGTTAGAAAATTTTAACTTTGGATATAAAAAATACATCATTGTCCGTGTTTGAGGTGATATGTTACAAAATTGGATATATAATGTTATTTTTTATTAATCATATATAAATACTTTTTATGTCGTTGTTGGTCGACGACACACGTGAGGGACTTAACGATAAGTTGGAACTATGACGCCTTGCCCTTGAGACTAAAGGATTCAGAATAGGTAGGAACAAGACTGAATACATGGAATGTCGTTTCAGCGGCCGAGAAACAGAATCAGAAGTGGAAATTAGGATTGACTCTCACCTAGTACCTAAGGTAGACAAGTTCCGATATCTTGGCTCGGTGATCCAGGCTGATGGGGAGTTAGATGGGGATGTTGGACATCGTGTTGGAGTGGCTTGGGCTAAATGGCGGTTAGCTTCAGGGGTGTTGTGTGATCCGAAGATCTCGCCCAGGATGAAAGGTAAGTTCATCGATCCGTAGTCAGACCTGCTATGTTATATGGTGCAGAGTGTTGGGCGGTTAAGAAGACTCATGTGCATCGTCTGCATGCGGCGGAGATGCGGATGTTAAGATGGATGTGTGGGAAGACAAGGTTGGATAGGATTTCGAACGAAGTTATCCGACGTCAGGTAGGCATGGCGCCGGTGGAAGATAAGTTGCGGGAAGCGAGGTTGAGATGGTTTGGTCAGACGGCGGGATGCTGACGCCCCTGTACGGAGATGCGAGAGGATTACGATTATCGGGGGAAGTAGGGGAAGGGGTAGACCTAGGAAGAATTGGAAGGAGGTGATTAGGCAGGATTTATGACTTCTTACCCTGACAGGATATGGCCTTAGATAGGAACATTTGGAGAATTAGGATTAGAGTAGCTGGTTAGGAGCTCGGTGCTGTAGAGGTTGTTTGTAGTGTATTGTGTTTGTTTGGAATCTTTTGCTATTGCTTGTACTTGTCGCTTGTACTTGGTGCTTTACCCATACTATACTGTGTTCCCTTCCATAATTTGTTGTAGGTTGAGCCGGGGGTCTCTTGGAAACAGCCTCCCTACATCCAAGTAGGGGCAAGATCTGCGTACACACACCCTCCCCAGACCCTACTGTAGTGGGATTCAACTGGGATGTTGGTGTTGTTGTTATGTCGTTGTTGGAAGGAATTGGAAAGAATTGGAAAAACTAGAAAGAGTTGGAAGAAGTTGGAAGTTACTTTTTCCAACTCAAAAGAACATTTCCTAAAGCAGTAGAATGATAATTACAAACCCGTGATAAATAAAGGCACTGAATAAGATAACATGTTAAAGCTCAGTGGCACTTGAGCAAATTTGACCATTACAACCTTGAGGTATTCTCTCTCTTCCATAAATAAATATATGCTACAGAAGCCAATGAACATAGCGGGCCAAAAAAACCTTTCCATTTTCACTTTTTATGTCCTAATAAATACTTTCACTTTCAATTAACATCTCCTTTTTGCCCCAACTAATTATTAACTTACCTTCATATCATATCTATTCTCTATTAATGTATGAATCACATCTTATCCTACCCTATATTAAAGTAAGTGCAAAATTGGAAAGTAACTCCAAAATTACACATTCTTTATATTACCCCTTTTTTCAAAGTGGAAAAGTTTTGTGGGAGGGAGGTAGTACATGTTTTCAAGAAATCAAGAATTGTTTATTCTTCAAAAGAACCTCAATCTATTGTTGAAAGTACTCCCTCCGTTCGAAAATAATCTTCCTATTCTACATTTTTCTCGTCCGAAAATAATCTTCCCATTCTACTTTTTCATCACAACTCTTCCAAAACTACCCCTTCTTCTCCTCTTTTTTTGTTCCGTTTCTTCTTTTCTTCTCTACCTTCTTTTCTCCAGCCAGGTCTTCTCTCTCTCTCTCTTCCACCTACCCCCATCTTTTTCTTCTCAGCCTCAGCTTCTTTTTTTCTTCGAGTGCTTCTTTGGTGCATCTGAGTGCTTCTTTGGTGCATCTGGGGCGCATACCATTTTTGTTGACTTTTTCACATAAAAAACTTTTTTTATTTTTTTAATTAAAAAAATAGATGCTTATTTTGCTCATATTTAGGTCCATGGTGGACCTTAGGTCAACCATAGAATTTTCCCTTCTTTCTTCCCCCCCCCCTTTTTCTTCTTCTCCTCGTCTTCTTCTTCTTCTCCTTCTTCTTCCAAAGTCAATTAAAGGCGTTGGGTTTTTTTTTTCCAAATCTGAAAGAACGCTTTTCTCCAAAGCCTGTTGTTCTGCGATCGAAAATTTGAGCAGAGGAGAAAATTGAAGTTGCGCCTTTCTTCGATCCTGCGCAGAGAAGATCCTATGCCACTGTTGTGCGGATCTGGACGGGGCTATTTTAGACAAACTGTACACAAAGTCAACTTCCCATAAAAATGACTAAAAGTCAAAATGGGAAGTTCTTTCTCTCATGGAGGGAGTAGTAAACAACCACACAAAAAGATAAAACAATCAAGCATATTATCAAGTTCTAAGGAATTGGCCAACTTATGGGGCAATATGAACTCTTATGGGGCAAGTTCTAAGGAATTGAACCCCTACCACTTTCTTCGAACTTTTCTTTCCAAATTCTAGTTTTTGTTTAACTCTTTCCATTTTTTCGTACTTCTTTCAGCTTTTTCTAACCCCTTCCAATTTCTTCCAACTACTTCGAATTCTTCCAATTATTTCTAGTCTCTTCCAACATCTCATTCTGTATTTCCAACCAAAAAGAAGAGGACCTAAGTGAAGCTACCGCCTCTTCCTCCCTCCTTCAACCTTGCTTTTCTCACTTTATAGGAGTAATTAGGAGCGCTAATTTCCATTGGTTCATTCCCGTTGAAGGAGCAAAGGAAAGGATCGTCGATACGAATTTGAGAGCAAAATTTGAATGGGTCTTCTAGTGGAAAGGTTGCTATATTGAATGGCGATCCCTTTGTTGGACAATTATGAAACAGTCATTGCTTGGAGATGTTGGACTCCGTCGTGCCGTTGCTATGATTTAGACTTCCTTTCGTAAGTGCTTCAGTGTTAGACTTGGGCGATGGAGGGATCTTAGAATTTGATGCATGAGCTGCGATATAGATAAGACAGAGGCAAGAGAGATGAGCTACTTTCTTGGATGCAACCCGAGCTTCTGCTGATTGGGCTTCGGGCTCTGATTTAGGCTAGAAGGCAATGAGGAAAATGACCGGCTAAAGGGCACCGATTCAGGCTAAAGGGCTCAACGGCTGGCTCTAATACAAAGGTGGCCGGTATGTAGAGCAGATGGCTAGAAGGCTTTGAGAAAGATGACGGGTGGATCCATTGATGGGCAGCTTTGATGATGATGAAAGATGTGCACGGTGTAGATGGGAATCCAGTTGACGCCGGAAAAGACAATGAGACAACGCTACATTGCTTGGGAAGACGATATATACGAAATTAAGCAAGATGATCAGGTTGCAAATGGGTACTTTTATGATGGTGACACAAAAAGATGACAAAGGGATTAATCTTGATTTGAAGGACAGTATACCTCATTTGCCCTAGGACAACTCTGGTCTTCAATTTCGTATCTTTGGCAATAGGATTCATCTGATAAGACTTTTATATTAGCTAGGCCCTTAGGAGTTTTCTTATTTTAGAATGGGATTAACCGAAAAGAAATCACCCAGTAAAATATACGGAGTAGCTCTTATAGTCAATATGGGAGTTTAATGTTTTTATCTCCAAAATATAAATTTGTGTCATTCCACATTGTTGTTTTGATACTATATGTTAACATTATTGACATTGTAAGTTTCATTTTGGGGATAAAAACCTGATATTTAATTTCTGTTTTGATTCTTTTGTTATGTTTTACTTCTATTTTAGTCTTTTTCCCTTATTTAATTTTGTTTTTAGGTTGTACTCGGGTAGTTTTTTTGCTCGTTATTTACCTTTGGATTTGGGTGTAGAGCTTGTGTTTTCTAGTCTTGCCTTCTTAAAAATAAAACTTCTTTTTTTGCTATAAAAACATGTTTAGTTATTTATCATAATTTCAAATGCTACTACATTATTATGATCCTTTGAGTGTTTAGAATCACAAATGCCACATATATTGTTTTATTTCTTAATATATGACTTTTTGCTTAATAAGTGGTTTATATTAATTTTGAATTTTAGTCCTTATTATCTCTCCCATCAAATGTCTTATGAATGTAATTGGGAAATACACTAGATTTGATTATATTATTTATAATAATAATAAAAATAGTAACAACAACAACAAGAATAATAATAATAATAACAATAATAATAATAATAATAATAATAATCATAATAATAATAATAATAATAATAATAAGCTATCTCTAGTATTAGGTTCGTCGCAATAAAGTACGGAGTAATAACTATAGTAATTAATATTTATTATCCTCTCGTCTCAATTTAAATTGTCTGTTTTGGTTTATGATGTTTGACTGAAATTATTTTTAAAATAATTTATATCAAAATTAGTGTGGAATTTAAAAAAAATTACAAATAATTTTATTAAACGAGTAGCAAAAATAGAGAAATTAAAAAAATTGAATAAAATGTGACCATGTAAATAGTAAACAGACAACTTAATATGAGATGAAGAGCGTACTAAACAATGTAAACATTAGGTTTTGTGGCAATGTATATATTGTGGCAAAACAACTTTGCTACTAAACATTAAGTTTTTGTTGGAATGTACTATTTGTCACAACTCAAATTTGCTACGTGTACTCAATATAAGCTTTTGTGGCAAAGTCTTGTTTGTGCCAAACCAAACTTGGCCATAAAATTAATGTTTTTTGTGATAAATTTAAATTTGTCACAAATATCTTGTGGCAGGGTTCTTGTGGAATAGTCTAGATTTGCTACAAATTGTATTTTGTGACTAAATTTAGACGTTCTATGACAAAATATGATGCCACAAAGAATATTTTTTTCAGTTAAGCATTAATCAAAACATAGTTTGTAAGTCATTGTCATAATTAAACTTTCCAACATTACATTCATTAGTGCCTCGACTTAAAGAGGAGATATAAGTAGGGCGCTCGTAACAAATGAACAACCAGTGGTCTTTGTTCACATACGTAAAAAAGGATTAGAGTTCACGAACTCCTCTAGACCGAAGTCTTTTCGGTCTATGAACTGTAGTCCAATCCACAATAAGGGTTTCCATGCCCTAAGTTTCAAAATGCCTTATCTACTTCTGATCGGGTTGCCTGGGGAGTCCTATGCCCTTTTTTGGGCTATCTAGAGTCTCTACTGTGCCCCTCCCGCTAGTTAATTTTACTACCATTCGATCGGCGTAATCTACTTCTCCTTTGGAATGTGTATCATTTAACAATTTTCGGTGTTGGTGGCGGATCCAGAAATTTTTTTCACCGGGGGCATAGTTGGTTAGCACATATAGAATAAACACATACTCCCTCCGTTCTCAAAAACACTTCCTCTTTCATTTTTTTCACTTCCAACAAAACACTTTCATTTTCTATTAAAAAACCACTTTTATCCTTATTTTTTCATACCCTACCTATCACATCATACTTTTTCTCTAATAATCTATCCATCGCATATTACTTTTACACATCACATCAGGAGCAAAATTGGAAGTCAATTATGATTTAACACTTTCTTATTTTGGCTCAGCTCCAAGTCAAAGTAGGAAGCCTTTTTACAAACGGAGAGAGTATATAATAAAAAATTAAAATTAATTAAAAAGCAAAATATGTAATTAAAGAAAAACAAACTTACATTTCAAACTTATTCCCTACAAGTTTTGATTTTTCAAACACTCAATTATATCTTTGTTCGTATTACTACTGCTAGATGAACCAGAAGCAGGTTTTGGTGTCTTTCTGTTTAAAAAACTTTTCCATTTTCATATCTATATATACGCCGTCCGTCCTTAAAAACTCTTCATGTTTTGATTTTTTTGTCAAATCGTGACATTCTTTAACCATAAATTGTAAGAAAACTACGGAGTATATTTTATTACGAGTATAATATAAATTTAATATAATTGAGTTTATCTTAAGATATATTTTTGACAAATCAGATTTTTTAAAAAATATATTTATAAGATTATGTTTAATTTATGGTCAAAGAGTGTCACTCTTCCACAAACAAAAAGAGTTTTCGATGACGGATGGAGCATGTGTGTATTTGGGTGTAACTATCAAAAATCTCTATCGAATGTTTTATTCCTCAAGACCCTAATGCAATACGGAGTATTATATTTAATTTCAACATTGGACTAGGCACTGGGCTTTGATACTGCAAATGGTGGATTGGGTTGGATATATTATCAAAATAGTGGGGCCAATTGTCAAATTTAAGAACATCACTGGGGGCAACTATCAAAGTTCTAAAATTTCTTCCTTGTTTTTACATAGGAAGCAAAGATTCACTGGGGGCAACTGCCCCCCCTCCCAAACATATAGATCCGCCAGTGTGTGTGCAGCAATTGTCCCGTGGCGGAGGCTATGTGGGCCAAGTCACAATCGAATGTCGTGGGCGCTTGTGTGCTGAATGCACTATAAGGCTAGGGTATGCGCCTCTTCTAACACCAATTGGTTTTAGAAGAGTTAGTAGCGCCTGAGCCCTGAGGTCCTACACCCGAGGCATAACATGCCCCTTACAAAGTTTTGTAGTGTAACACACATTAGGCGAGTACTTTGGTGCACATAAGGTCTACATATTTTTGTGTGGGCCTATTGATGTGAGTAGTAAGCATTTCTTTTATTCAAATTAAAATGACTCACATGGTATTACTCTATCCGGAGAGAATAAGATGGGTTTGCATTTGGAAAGAGTCGCGTATCCACACGCAAAAGCGGGTCTCCCTTTTCCTATTGTTGCTACAAAAATGTCACATAAAATTATTAGGCGATCATACTACTAGGTTGTCTTTTCAATACTCCCTCACTATGTCCCAAATTATTTTGTTATAATATGACTTTTATGATAATTTTGACCATAACTCTTTTATAATTTATCATTAATTAAAGTTGGCATAAATGTCAAACTACAACAAATAATTTGAGAGGCAGCCGATATGATACTACTCACTGCTACAATTTTCTTTTACATCTCGGAGCACATGAGAAATGCATTCAAGAATCAAGATAATGCGGCGTACATCTTTACACTCAGAGCATTGGAAATATGTTTGAAGCCCCGAGCTTCAAGTATGGGTTTCAAACCTTCTTTTTTTTGACATATCTTCACATCAACTTTGAGTTTTTTTACTTTATAGTTTCACTACAAATGGGTTTGAAGCCTGAGGCTTCAAACTGGGGTTAAACCTTTTTTTCATTTTTAATATACATTTTTTAAAAGTAAACTAATGAGAAAAAAAGTACATCAAACAATTAATTAAATACTCCGTAAAAAATTACATTTAATAAAAAACTAAAAAAAGTTCATTAAGTTTTAAAAAAATTACATTAATAAAAAAAGATTTCAATAATAACAACATAAATAAAAATTACATTTCTTGAACAACTAAAAAAACTTTAAAATTACATTAATGATTAGTTGGGCAACTAAAAATATGTTCAATCTAATCTACCATTAATGCATCCTGAATTTCTCGGCTTCAAATTTCTTGGTGATTTTTTTGTTTTTCTTCTTCGATTTCTCCGTAAGTAGGCACCTTCTTGTCTAGGTTGTAATGACAAACTGCAAATCCGTTGTCCTTTATAATCATATTATGAAGAATAATACATGCATACATAATGTTTTTCATTTTTGTTTGAGAATAACACTTGGAAAGACGATCTATAATGTGCCACTTACCTTTCAAAAACTCAAAACGCTTGTTCGAAATCA